GTTTCTCAAAATTAATATGATAAACCTGATGCTACAATTTGTTATTATTACGTAATACTGAAGACTCAGTTGCTCAATATTTATTAGACATTTTTATAAGACTGCAATGATGAATTTTAAGATTACAACAGAATACGAGAAAATATTGCTTTTCTGTTTCACTAACACTGTCAGGTTTATAAATCTCCAGAAAATAGGATTTTCGGATGATTTCAAATTTATAAACACACAAATTAACCAAAAGGAAATAAAATCTACTTTTACCCAAACAATCGAGTTTAGAAACGCCACGGTAAATTATTGAACAATATATTATCACATTTCGTTGGATGTTACTTGAAATACATAGTTCATTCGAACACAAAAATAATTTTTGTCCAGATCATTTGGACATGGTTCGTTATTTGATTATCTCAAACGAGATACATAACTTGTTACTTTATTTCTTACTTTGTATTTGAATAAATTTTTATCTTCAAATACAATCCTTATATCAATCCTCATTTCTCAGACAATTTTATATCAGATTATTATAACAATTTTCTATCTTATTTGAATAATCGAATTAACTCCAGTGAGAAATTATTTGAAAATGATTTGTTTGAATCTCACGCCAAACAAAGTTACTTTTCCAAAATGGTATTTCTAAAATAATCATCTTCACTAATTTATAATGTAATTATCGTTTGAAGAATAACGTATTAACTTATCTGTGAATAATCTTTTATTTGAGTTAATTCGTTGAAATAAAATAGTAAATGATCTCAGCAGAAAGTGAAGTTCGTATCATAAAATCAGAAACTATTTGAAGTTGAACTGTTATTTGTTGAAACAAATACAAAACACAAATTATTTTATTTGACAACTGAATAATGAATTGCTTGCTTGCCCAGATAAATTAACACAGTACTATTTTAAAATAACATTAAATAGAGTCAAATAAGATGATGTTATTTTAATCATCACGTAAATAATCATTCATGATGATATAAGTAATCATTCTTCAAATATTTTATTCAAATGATAGCCAAGCTTGATTTAAAATCGCATGTGTCTCTTGTTAAACACAATATTCTGTTTGTAAAACTTTATATAATATTGTATTACGTTACCAGAATGATCAGAAAGATCAATTCGTAATTTTTCATAAAGATTTTGTAACGAAACAGAAGTTTGAACGATTTTTAAACATGTATGAATAAAGCCTTGCATCGTTCATTATATTATCCAACGTGTCTGAATTGATTTGATTTGAAAGTTTCATGCTTCGTCGAAAGAACTTTAGTTCTAATGTTAATAATATTGTCAACGTCAAACGTGTACGTGCAATTATTTACATTGACATGATATATCTACTGTAATATTCGATTCTTTACTTTACTGTTCACTGCAATAATCGTGGCACCAGACCAAGTTTACTCAGAGTCAGAAACCATTCGAGAAATTATTTGTAAAGACAAATGTAAAATACAAGACAATGTAAAAGATTATTTTACACAATATCCAAATCATCAAATAATTTAAATTATATCCAAACAAAATGAATAGCTTGAATTAATTAAACAATTTAATTTAAATTAAATTTACTATTTAAATTAGTAATAATGATAAATAATAATGGTAATAATTAATAATAACAATAATAAATAATGATAATTAATAATAATAAACAATAATAATTATAAATAATAATAAATAATAATGATAATAATTAACAATAACAATAATAAATAATAACAATAATTATTAATAATAATAAATAATAATGGTAATAATTAATAATAATTAACAATAACAATAATAAATAATGATAATTAATAATAATAAACAATAATAATTATAAATAAATAATAATAATTAGTAGTAATAATAATAAATAATAATAGTAATAATTAATAATAATTAACAATAATTATAATGATAAATAATAATAAATAATGATAATAACTAACAATAACAATAATAAATAATAATAATAATAATTAGTAATAATAATAAATAATACTGGTAATAATTAATAATAATGGTAATAATTAATAATAATTAACAATAACAATAATAAATAATGATAATTAATAAAAAATAATGATAATAATTAACAATAATAAATAATAATAATAATTAGTAATAATAATAAATAATAATGATAATTAATAATAATGATAATTAATAATAATAATAATTAATAATTTAGAGTTATTGTAGTTTCATTTATTTGTTCGAGTAAACCAACTTAAAATTGTTTGGAGTAGAGGCAAATAAGAGGACGTGTTATTGAAATATTCGTTTTCCAAACATTTTGTTCGTCAAACAATGCCCAATGTACGTTGTATAGTAGTGGCAGCGGAGGACAGCGGTGGTGGTGATGATGGTGGTGGTGGTGCCTAATGCTCATTTCAGCCCTCAGCCGACAGTTCAACGCAGCCCGTAGTCTTCGACGGTCGTGCATCGTCCTGTCCGACACGACTGTATCCATTCGCGTTTCACAAACAATGGGACGATCCATCGTTTCATAAACGAGCACTTCTCACCTCTTCCCCGATTTCTATCTTCGTTAATTACGATGTTAACCACCAGGTGATTCGTTGGAAGAAAAAAAGAAGAGAAGAAGAAGAAGAAAGGATTGAACGTGACTGGAATTGTTCTGTGCCAGTGAATCTTGACATGACATGTTTCGAAGTGTTTGACCGAGAAAATGGATTTTTCGTCGTGGATTGTTTAATTGGACGATCCGGCGAAGTTATGGTGAGAAAACCTTCTGATATTATTGATTTAAATGTTAATAAATTTAAATCAATCTCGGATTAAATGTAAAACGCAAATTGCATCTTCTGTGTTTATAATTTCGTTGCTGCATTTGTTTGTTTTGTGCTATTTTATTATACTCTGTCATTTCTTTTCTTTTTTTTTAATACTATTCTCTTTCTTTTATTATTTATTTCCTTTTCTTACAGTGGGCTTTTCCCACTTAAATAAATAAATAAGTATTCACGTGAAATAGAAAGAATGCTGCAATAAATGAAAGGGAGAGAATTGGAGTATTTATATTTTTATTCCACAACGATATTCTAAAATAAAATAAAAAGAAGATATTAAATGAATAAAGAAATGAAGTAAAGAAAACATTAGATAGAATAAAAAGGAAGAACATGTGCTTTTTTTTATTTTACCATAAAATTCTAAAAGAAAACAAAGAAAATATTAAACAGAATGAGAAAGAAAAATAGAATATATATATTTTTTTATTCTATAATAAAATTCTAGAACAAAATAGAGAAAGATATTAAATAAAATAAAAAGAAAAAAAAATGGAATATTTTTTTGTTATTTAATTTTATTCTATTAATATTAGAATAGAACAGAATAAATACCATTGTAAAACAATTTTAAAAAGACTCCAATATTTTGGATACTTCTGTTATTTCCAAATAATTTTATAAAATTAGGAACAACGTATTTATTCTAAAAGTTAATTTCGACCTATGTTCGGAAGATAATTACGACAACTTCCCCCTCGTCGTATTTTTCTTCGATTTCCATAACGAGGGAAGAAAAAAAAAAGAGAGATAATTCGTGAAAGTCAAAGGTCGACTGAGAGATAAAATGTTTCTTCTTGAAAATACATAACTAGAAAACACTGTCAAATACAAACGAACGTTTTACTTTCGAACTTCGATTCGAACGCTATAAATGCCGATGTTGCACTTTCGAACGAGAGAAAACATCTAGTAATATTATTTATGATAAAGAGATCAAGGCTTTTTCTAATACGTATAAATATTTATATGTTTATCACGATCTAATACGTACTCCGACGTTTATTTTTAATTTAAACGAGGCACAACGTTCTTGTAGTTCTGAAAATATTCTGAATTATTCGAAATCATTCAAACAAAACTATTAAATTATATAATTATTCACAAATTACATAATGTAATTAGTGGATAATTATTCAAATAAAATTCGCAGACTGCGAATTTTAATATATTCATGGAAAGTTTGAAATTGCAAAAATGCAGATGATGTGCAAAAATTATATATTAGTATATATACTATATTAGTATATTAGTATATTAGTATATTAAAATATCCAAGATATTGATACATTAAATAAACTTATTAATTACTTAGATAAGACAAATAGTAACAGTAAATAACTTAAATTTTATTGATAAATTACGTTCATAAAAATATAAAATTGCACAAATAGTACTACTGTATAAATAGTAGTACTGCATAAATAGTACTATACTACTACTTTTACTCTGTTATATTTGAAAAACAAATTATTTGAAATCAAGGTATTTGAATTTACAATTTGAAAATCATTTTCTTATCTCTAGTCTAATAGATATATATTTATGCAATATATGTATACAATAAATTTATTATTTCTTATTTTGCACCATTATTTGAAATTATTATTTTTCCAAGATATTGCAATTTATTTGTACTCATTCTTATTTTCAAGCGAACTTGTTTCTTACTTCATTTTAAGTAATTATTTGTTCTCTTTTATTTATTTATTTATTTTTTTATGTCACTTTAAAAAGTGGCTAATCTTTGTAAATATGTACTAATCTAATCGATCCTTTTGCCAAGAGAATTCACAAGTACTTTGTTCCTTTGTTCATTCAATGTTTTCTTAGAAAAGCATGAATTATGCTAGTGACTAAACTAACAATTGATATTGTACATCCATCTGTGACAATTGTTAGAAACTACGTTATATATTTGTCCATTTTACACTAAAACTATTAAACTGAACAATAAATTCATTTGCACATATATTTTTGAAAGAAATACGAAACTTATCAAGTAATAATTTATTTATTCCATCACTCTGTAAATATATATTTCTTACCAAAGAAAAATTCAATTATTTGTGTATTTATAGCTTTGTAATTTTTGTAACATATAATTAGATATTATTACTCAATTCAACACTAATAAAATATAAAATTCCTATCAGAGAAATAAAGTGCAAGGTACATGGAAAAATTTAGTTTGCATAATTTGTGAAAGAATTGTTCAAATCCCAAGAAATCATAAGTCTGTAATATCTCTAATGAAAAATTACGAATCAGTTATTTTCATTATTCTGGCAGTTCTACTGTTAATATCTTTTCTTGGAACATTCGTGCGAAAAATAGGAAAGCTCCACCTACGCTTTAATTTAAACCTTGTCAACGATACCTACTCGTTTCCCTGTAGCAAAAGGTCGTGCTATAAAATTACAACATTAATGCAGCTTTATAACCAACCTTGACTCCATGTCGTTCAATATTCTCGTTCTTATTCTTATAACACATTCAGTCGTCTTCTTTTTCAGAGTCTTCTTCAAAGTCTTCTTCAGAACAGGCTTGGACACTGTTTGAAATAATTGAAAGATGGTTATTCAAATAATACATTATCTTATTTAATTCGACGATATTTTGAAACAATTTTGTGCCAGTTTATTTGAATGAGCTATCATTATTTGCCATCGAGTAGAATAATTTTTTATTTTATTTCGTACTCTGCAAGCTTGGATGCAACATTTGAAAAATAATTATTTGAATAACAAATTATATTAATAAAAAATTATTTAAATTTTGTGTCAGTTTATTTGAATTGATCTTTCAAATGAATTTAGAAATATTTTAAATTCAACTCTAATTTTAATTAATGTTATTTAAAATTACATGTAACAAGTTTAATTTTTAAATAAAGCATTATGCTTATTTTATTCGAACAATTAACTCGAATAAAAGATTGTTTGGTTATTAATACTTGATAATATTAAATATGCACATATAATATTTGCAATATTTTACATTGTATTTATAACATATATGAATTTACTTTAAAACAACATCAAGTCAAATAAGATTGCTTGTTATTTAAATAATCATTTTCTAAATTTAAAAAATAATAAATTAATACACTACAATAATTAGAACAACCTTTAATACGTATTAGAATATTATATATGTAAATCAAAATACAATTTAAATTAAAATGAAATTTAAAATTAAATTAAAATATAAATGATAACAATTAAATTAATATAAATATTTTAATTTAAGTTGTAATATGAATCATTACAATTTAAATTAAAATCAAAATTTAAAATTAAATTTAAATTTAAATGATAATAATGAAAATAAATAGATTTAAAAGAAATTAATAGATTTTCTGTCCAAATAGTGTATATTTTAAACTGTTGCAAATCAGATCCATTTCAGTGTTAAAGATAATCTAAATGAATCTAGATCTTAAAAAAAAAGAGAGAAGAAAAACAGAAAATCAGAAATAATTTGGTTCCAGCTAATGAAAATATTTAATCCTTCATTTCAAACTTCATTTTTCGAATGAACATTTTGCTCGACCCTGCTATACTTCAGAAGAGTCCCCAGAAAACGAGCACTCGTCGTGACGTAATTCCTCAAGTAGATAAACCGTGTCCGCTTTCTGTCACTTCGCGTTCAATACCTTAATTAACTTTACGTTTCTTCAACGCTTTGCTAATATTCGCTGCCTGTGTTGTCGATGTTGCCCCCCAAATTGTTTCAGCAAAACAGAAGCGAAAAAAGGTGGAATAGTCGTGAAACGATGGAGGGCAATTAACAGGAAGACATTGCCGCGATGCCACCTTTGATTCGAAAAGCCAAGACATCCGTGTTTCGCGTACAGGGCCCTTAATTGGGCTTAATTAACGATTGTCCGTCTTTGTCATCGGGCCGTGACTCACAACGAACGTAACTTCTCGTTGCTCGTCTCGTTTTCTTTCTCTTTGCACTTCGTTCTTTTAGTTGGCTCTCCGCCGTTGTCATTTTCCTTGCGTTTGTCGAAATTGCGCGTCTCTTAACACTAAAACTATTGAGGACTAAAGCATAGAATTTTCATCAGAGATATTAAAGTGAAAAAAATAGAAATATAATAGAATACACGAACTTTTATTCATGTATTTTATAAAAAATCATTTAAACCTCTAATACACTATTAACTAATATTTTATTAAAAAAAATCATTTAAACCTCTAATACACTATTTTGTATCTGTAATGTATAAATAATATCTAAAGAAATTTTGAATTAGTCATTTTGACTTCCACCACTTCTAGTTCTAGTGTTAACAGGCTTCGACATTAGTGTTCACTATCAGTGCGAAACTGAAATCATTGTGCACTCTTTTTCTTCTTACAAATCTGATTTTTTTTCCCTAGTTTTTTTTTCTCTAAATTTTTCATTTCGTTTCAATCCAAAAAATGTCCCATCTAGAGATTAATTCTCAATGAGAAAAAATTTTGTTTCAAGTGTAATTAATTTTCTTTCTCTCCCTTTCACATATGATATGACAATAATTAGTTTTTTGTAGGTGGAGGGTTTCAGAGATTTTAAGATCACTCCCTTTTCTTTCTTTTAAGTAAAATCATATATATACAACTCGACATTCTCCATGAAATAGTATTAACCTACATATATATATATATATATCAAATATTTTGGTTTTAATTTAATAGAATCTCTTGCATGAGAAACAAGGATAATATGAGCACAAGAATTCCTGTCTTTCATCGTCTTTCAAGATTTTTAAGAAATATTTAAAATAATCAAATTAGAGAGGGCATTGAGTGTAACAATAGAATAGAATACATGTACAGCAATATATAGAATAAAATATACCAATGGAATATATAGAGAAATAGTAAAAGTATAATGAATACAACATTTAGTGTTATACTAGTTACACAACACTAGTTACACTACACATAAACAACACTAGTTGACTTACTTATGATATGTGTATATCAAAAAAGTATTCAAGTATTTAAAAATTCACAGTTCTAAATTTATAAAATTTCTGATGAAAAAATAAAAATTTTGATCACTCTCGCAGTGTTTCAATATCAACTACTGTAATTTGTAAGTACTAAAAAATCTACCTATGAATTTCATTCTTCTCATTACTTTTATTGTCCAAATATTTTATTATTAATTTATTAATGCGAATTTTTATGGAAATTTTGTTGAAAATGTAATGATACATAAAAACACAGAATACACATATAAAAATATATAAAATATTATTACTACACTATTACACTATCCAAATATAATTTTTAATATATTTAATTATCCATATTAAATTACAAATATACAAATATAATTCTTAATATATTTAGTAAGTAATTTTTAAAAAAAATTAGAGAAAATATAAATTTGCATAAATAACTACAGTCTAGTCTATTGCATGACTGATATAATGAATTATAATTACAATGGAAAGATACATGAATAAAATATTCAGTAAGTGAGACAAATGTTTGCCCGAGTTCCATCTTTTAATTGTATTTATAAAGATATAAATTCTGCATAAATTTCTGCAATCTATTTATCATACAATTGCTATTTCACGATAAATTGTTCTTATAATGTAGAATGTTCGACAAAGTAAAATTTCTTCATTCATCGAACAAATATTTGTGAATTTTTCGTGAAACTTTCAGATTTAAAAATCTGTTCAGCTCAATTCGCTATAACAATGTTGCATAAATAAACGTAGATATTTTGTTCGAATAATATGGATCGTTTCGTTTGTTTGAATCGTTTCGTTTATAGGTGTACTGGATTGCTTTATCACCATTCTGTTTGCATCAAAAATACGCAGATTCATTTTCTGGGAGAGTATTTGAATTATTTTTACAGAAGTTATTTTTCTATTTTAATATTCCTCTTATCTATTTATTAATTATTGATATATATTTTAATTTATTATTTTAATATATTATTTTAATTTATTTATCTCTCTTACCTATTTAACTATTCTTTATTTCTTAATTTAACGATTATTAAATTGCCTGATATTTATATTATAGTAATTATACTGATTTTAATATTTTTATGAACATGATAAGAAAAATTGAACATGAATAGAAATTCGTACTCTTTTAAAATGTCACAACAAATACTCTATTATATAAATATGTAAAATATAATTTAATGTACAAAGTATAAAATATCTAATATAAATTTTAATTCAATGTATAAATATCCAATATTTTATACAAATTTTTTTATAGAAATATATTTCAATATTCTGTATTTTATATGAAATATGTGCGTTGTAATTCGACCATGAATTTTTATTCATTTTCACATTTTTATGAACGTAACTAAAGAAATTGAAAACAAAAATTTGTTTCATTTTCTAAATATTATAGTAAATACTCTATTTTAAATATTTTAAATATTTTTGCATATTAATGTATTTTATGTATTTTTACATCTTACAACCTTTCACAAATACGTAGAAATTGTTCTAATTATATACACACTGACCTTAAATATCTTATAAATTCCTCTAAAATCTGAGATCTGCATCAGAATAATGTATAAAAAGAGATTTATTATTCGTACTATATTCACGAGTATGTAAAATGAAGCTGAAAAAATTATTCTACGTGTCAGGCCTATATAAAGGACCTGAGTTGACGAATATAAGAGGGATGAATCATTCTTGAAATGAAACGAATTGCGCGATCGATATTAAAACTACTCGTGTCCGAGTGAATCGTATTTTGTGTGCATTCATGACATTAAACCAGCAGCCTATCTTGAACAACAGATGTTATAAAGATATGGTGATACAATTACGTGACTTTAGTATGTTGTACGTGTTGGCTACGTTCACATAATTGTAATTTTACTCAATGACCAAGTGAAATATTATTATACTTTACTTACAATTTATAACATACATAGTTTACTACTTAACTCTCTTATTATTTTTTTTTTGACAGCTTTTTAATTTTTTTTACAATACAGATTTTAAATTTTGCTTCAAAAAAATAAACACGTATTATGATATTTTCAAGTTCAACAAGTTCCACAATATTTTGAAACAATGAATTTTATAATATATAATATGTTTAATAAGTATAGTATATAGTATAGTATAGTATATAATATGTTTAATAAGTATAGTAATTTAGTATTATTATTAGGTAATGGGAAGATTTTATTGTTAAATTTTTCTTATAACATTGATATACGTTTCATATTAATCAATATTAATCAACATTAAGAATCATAATATTCTAAAGCTATTAAATTTTATAATACATACATTTAAACTCTTTTATGACACTCATTTTAAATCTCAGTGCAAAGAATAAATACATTGAAAAAATAACTTTATCATACTGTGTTTAACATAGGTCCTATAACATTTTTGTAATGTGCAGTGTTGTATAATACAGAGTTATTAGTGCAAATTTATATTTTCATGACCATGACTGAAGAAATAGAACTTACACATAGATTGATTTTATCTATTAAAAATTGTAACAAATATCCTATATTGAATATTTTATATAGCTTTATTTATTGTACGTATATTGTATTGTATTTTATATATGTATTCAGTGTACATTTGCACTTTCAAATTCCACACAAATACATAAAAATTCATAATCTGGCTATGAGTTTTCTTCAATAATCTATTCCTTTATTGTAAAATTCTCAGTATTACTAAAAATTTCCTTTCATTAAAAATATATATATCATACTATATTATGGAAATAATAAAATTATAATACTATATATTTAAAATAAAAATTATAATTTTTAATTTTATTTTAAAATTATAATTCCATACTATAATGGAATAAAATTATATTACTAAACTACATAACTAAATAATTGTTACATTAGAAACTGATAAATTAATTAAATAGAGATAGCAATTGAAATAGAGATAGCAGTCGACTTGTTTCCTTAACAAAAGACAAATAACAACAAAGCTTAAACATACAAATTTCAAACAAAATTGTACACACCTATTATTTAGTAACGTGGCAAATAAAATTGCTCGACACAAACGGATTTTACGGTTGGAGGACTATTTAAAACGCACACCTTGATAAAACTCGTATTAGGTACAAAGGGTTCTTTTCAAAACTCACCTTGGATGATGATAATACGACAATCGTTATCGTTCATATGGCACTGTTCCACCGGTGTTCTTATCCCGTAATCTTGCACATACTTCCGGTTGCGACAACCATTATACTGTACGTATGGAACGAGTCTGGGTAATAAAGAAAAGACATAAAAATTGTGGACAATAGAGGTACAATTAAAAGTATAAAACCACGGAAGATTAAAAAGAGATGTTTTGCAAGTGGTAATTGGAAATAATTATATAATTGATTTGGAACTTTAACAACCTCCCCAAAGTATTGCTACACATTCGATAATTGAAATTTCAAGAAGCTTTCTGACGATCCACGATTAAATACAAAGTTCATAAATCACCTATTTTTCTATAAAATTAGGAAAAAACAGAATAATGAATTATTGAAGATTAATAGGATATTAATTTTAAATAAATAAGATTTATTAACATCCTCTGAATATCCAATTTTTGGATATATTAATTGTACATAAAGCAAATGAGATAATTTCATAAATTATTTGGTCTTTTATAAAATTATGAAACAACAAGAATTTGAAAGTAATTTATTAGCGTTAATTAATTGTTAAAATAAATATCAACATGATAGGCTCAATATCAAGGAATTCAATATAGTCTGAAATTAATCTTTTAATATCATCTGACGATTTTTAATAATAATAAAACTATAAATATTATATATATAATATTTATAGTTTAAGTATAATAATAGAACTATCAATATTGTGTATGTAATATTTATAGTTTAGATATAATAATAAAACTGTCAATATTGTATATATAATGTTTATAATTTAAATATAATAATAAAACTATAAATATTGTGGGAAAAATGTATTGCACTGTACAATGTGATATATGATTGACAGTTAATAATTCGTACAAGACTACACAATTAGAAATCTATCAAGTGGCCACTATGCAATGACTTTTCAACAACTCTCTCCAGCTCATTCTCACTCTCTCTGATTTCTCTCCTGTTTATCATTTCATGCATCCTCTTTTTATACCCTCGTATCTCTTATTTTTACCATTCTTATGATGAATATAATTTATAATGAAAGTAATCCTACTACTAAAATCACAAATTAATCAACGACCAAGTTCCAAACTACAATTACTATTATGTACTATACTGTATATTTTATAATTATGTTACATTATTATGACTTACTGTTAACCGAACAGGGAATAATAATTTTAGATAATAATACTAAAATTATACTAAAATAATACTAAAATAATACTAAAATTATAAAATAATAAAATTATAAAATTTAAACCACAAATTAATCAACGACCAAATTCCAATACTACAATTACTATTATATACTATACTGTATATTTTATAATTATGTTACATTATTATGACTCACTGTTAACTGAACGGGGAGTAATAATTTTAGATAATACTAAGATTATACAAAAATAATACTAAAATTATCTAATAATTCTAATAATTTACTAAAATTTCTAATAATTTCTAATAATTCTAATAATACTAAAATTTCTAATAATTTCTAATAATTCTAATAATACTAAAATTTCTAATAATTTCTAATAATTCTAATAATACTAAAATTTCTAATAATTTCTAATAATTCTAATAATACTAAAATTTCTAATAATTTCTAATAATTCTAATAATACTAAAATTTCTAATAATTTCTAATAATTCTAATAATACTAAAATTACTTCTCTTTTATTTCAATTTCAAGCATTGGATGAAAGTGGAATTCGTGGATCTCGATTACCAATCGAAGATGTCGAAGAAGAGGCGTTAGCATGAGCCACACCATCGCACTCAGAATACTGGCACTGATCTTGATCCTCGGTGATCTCGAATCGGTCACAGTGGTGAACCACCATCCGGACGAGGAATATTTCCTGGAGCACGAAGTCCTCTACGAGGAGGCGATCATGGAGGCGAAGAAGCTACAACTTTATCCCGGTAGAAAATTTATACATATCGTTCTTGATACCATTTTACATCTCTATCTATGAGGAAAAGCGCCGCGTGTCCTAATTTGCAATGAATTAACAATACACATATGTCGCACATTATATTAACACTAATTAACTACCCAAAGTGGTCGAAACGACGAATTTATAATTTTCCATAAAAATTTTATATGTTCATAACAGTGTGTTTTCAGAGACTTGAATAATTTTTAAGAATAATGATATAGAGGGTGTTTCATTGTCGGAATGTTCTGCAATTAAAAATAAAAAGAGAATTATATAAACGTAGAGCTATAAATTTATGAAAAAGTTATAACAAAAATACCAATTCAATTAATATTGATACCTATCGGTATTAATACTAACTACATACATAGCATTGCAACATATAATAATAAACATAATCTCTTTTATATTCTACTACTAATTACATATGTAGTATTGCAATGTGATAATAAACAATCATAATTAAACATTATCGACATTTCCATGCAGAATTAAACGAGGAACTAGTCATTTATAATTTTGATTTTTTTTTTTGTATAATAATTTTGTAGTTTGGCGAGATAAAAATGAAACATTCTGTATGAATAAAAACTCGTGTTCTTTAATATATAAATTTCTTTCTGTTCCTTTGTGTTGTAATTTCTCTGCTACAAATTTTATATTTTAATCGTCGATAGTTCCAGTATTGCTAATATGTTGTACATTAATTAACAGACGAATTTTTCTGCATTTTTTTTTAATTTTCATGAATATAATTAAAAAAACGAAATTTAAGTGGAAAGTTGTTTTTTCTATATATTATTATAAACTATATATTATAATAAATATTACTATAATTATTATATAATATCTATATATTATTATTATAAATTTATACCCTCCTTTGGATATTTTATTTTTGCATTTTTATGTATATTTTTACAAATGCATAAAAATCCGCAGTCTATTATTAAATAGTATGTCAATAATATATAACCAAACAGTAAGAAACATTGAATGCGTATCATTATTTCTAGCAATATCCTAACATTTCTAGCAATAATACAATAAATTTTACAGAAACTTAAGATATCTAAACTATTAATTTCAAAGCAAAAAAATACGTCATTTCACACTTAAAAATGTAGAGGTGACCTCGAAATCTGCTCGAGCTACTAAAAAATCATTATACCAAACCGTCCTCTCTAAACAATTTTTTTTTTTAACTAACAAAGTTTCTTTCATATCTTCAAAAACAACGTAAATATTTAAAGTTACGCGGTGTCTCTAAAAATGTGTGACATATGGTGTTTCCCCTCGCGATAAAATAAAAACAGGACACGAGGTTCCTCCACAGAAAAACGCAATCGAAAAGGTTGCAGCAGGGCAGCTAGAAAAATTTCGGTAATTCACACGTATATGTATGCTAAAAAACTCGATACTAAAAGCAAAAGCGTGCTCCACATCCCGTGCTCCTTGTCCGTCTTCATTCTAACGTCTGGTCTATAAAGCATCTTTACGGAGCAGCAAGATCTATTTATCTTTCCTCCGAGAATAACCTTCCCTTTGATCCGTTCAAACGGATACTTCAGCCGCGTCCATCCAGCCCGGCGAATTAACTTGACGAATCCACCGTTTTATTAATTGGCCTTTATCTCCACTACATTGCAGCCGGTATGGACAAAAAAGGTATACCCGATCAATATGTAACGCCGTTCTAATTTAGACTCGAGTAGTACGCTTGGCTGCATGCGACAATGTCGAAAAAGCTTCTTCCTTGACGCGATCGTTACCTGAAAATAATTGCCCGAGCGGCAGGAGCGATCTGCTGCTTTTCAAATGTAACCATCACAGTCGACAGGAAATCCAAGTAGCCAAGGTTGCGAGTCTTGTTTGACAATTTCAGCCTGTTCGACGATACACACCGAGTTTCCGCGAAATGTTGTATTTCTGATGATTCTCTGGAAGTTATCCTTGCACAAATAATAATAGATCGCCGGCGTCGTTCGCTTATAATTCATGTTTGGTTTCACTGATTTTCTTGTTACTTCATTTTACTTAAGATACCTTTATATCGTGGCCAAGCATTAATTTTGTTTCATTTTGTTTGTTTTATCATTCAAAAGCGGACACATACATACATGTTTGTAATTATATTATATCATATTCGAAAAGTCTTGAGATAGTTTTTAGTTTTGGTATCTGTCGAAAATAATTATACATACATGTATATAGAGATACAATTTTTCAATCGCGTGTCTATTTTGTAACACTTGTATTATGTATCAATAATTTAATGTAACAATTAAGTATTATTTAGTATAACAATTTAATACAGATTCTTTGTAATGTATTATTAATTCAAGTACTAATTAAATTTAATTAACTCAGCTATCAACTAAATATAAGCTATTAATTAAACTATTAACTAAATATAAATTATTAACTTAGGTATTAACTAAATACAAACTATTAACTAAGCTATTAACTAAATATAAACTATTTACTAAAGTATCCTCAGGCATTGCTTGTATTTTTGTATCTTCAAATTTTCAAATCTTCATTTGAATTCTATTTCTTTAATTGCGTCCACAAAAAGTATACCTAAATAGTGAATTTTTGTGCAAAAATTCGTACATTTACAGATCTGATTAAACAAGTGGTATATCTAGAAACTGGTTTATTATCAGAAATACAATATTTTGTATTTCGTATAATTTTGCATATCATATATTTATTTACCTCAGTTTCATGTATTTTGCAATTTTTTTAGATTTAAAATTTCTTATAAATAACGTAAGAATCTAGTGTCTAGCGACGTAACATCGGTATAGCGTTCAACATCTACGACACAATTTCAGAACAGTTGTATAAAACCTCGAGAGGCATCAATTAACGTGAATTATACTTGTACTCCCTCGATTCGATGCTGATTGTCGTCTGTTTTAATAACAGTTCTGCGAAACGTGTATAATGAAATGTAATTCACAATCGGCCGAACGAAAAATCTATTATTTTTTAGTTCAAGGAATGGTGTCCTTGCTCTGTAGCATGATGGAAGCAATAGAAGGAAATAGAAGTATATTCTTTTTTCTGAGATTCGTAGTAAAACGATTCAGTTCGCTTGATAGTATGCAGCTTTCAATTTTCGTTCAATAATTTTAAGATTAGTTTTTGAATGTATAAGGTGTTTCAGTCGAATCGAAGTTAACTAAATTGTATAAAAATGAAATGGTTCTAGAGAGCATATAATTTTTTTTGGAAGACACTTTGATTTCTCTTACCTTGGTGGACTTTCAATTTTAGTTGATTGAAGTTTATGTTTAATTTATGTCAAATTGATCATCTACAAGAATTTATCTGCGCCAAATTATGTGCTCGCTAAAACCATTCAACTTTTGTTTCTCATCATACATACTTTGACAAATATCCGTGTAGGTCGACTTAACCTCTTGCGCTGGAATGACGCACGTCGAGAATCTTTTTATCCCAAAATTGCAATATTTTCTCAGTTTTAGATATATCTAAGTATAACTACGGCAAAACAAATAATAAATTTATTACCTGTCAATAATTTCTATCCAGTGACATCATACCGACGAGTTCAAAAAGAAAGCGACGAATTACTGTACACGGTTCGGTCACTCGTTATGGTCCGCAATCAGCTGCCAGCGCAAGTGGTTAACCTCTTGCGCTGGAATGACGTGCCACGCACGTTGAGAATTTTTTGTCCTAAAATTTCAATATTTTTTCAGTTTTAAGTATATTTAAGTATAACTGAAACAAAGAAAATAATAAATTTACTTCTCAATAATTTCTATCCAGTAATATCGTACCGACGTGTTCAAAAAGAAAGCGACGAATTATTGTACACAATTTGGTCACTCGTTATGGTCCGCAATCAGCTGCCAGCATAAGTGGTTAACCTCTTGCGCTGGAATGACGTGCTACGCACGTCGAGAATTTTTGGTTCTAAAATTACAATATTTTCTCAGTTTTAAGTATATTTAAGTATAACTGAAACAAAGCAAATAATAAATTTATTTCTCAATAATTTTTATCCAGTGATATCGTACGAGTTCAAAAAGAAAGCGACAAATTACTGTATACGGTTTGGTCACTCGTTATGGTCCGCAATCAGTTGCCAGCGCAAATGGTTAAATGAGACAGCCTGTATATTAACACGTTCAACACGAGACGAATTTTATAATTCTGTTTCTGAAAATTTCTTTTGTTTAGTTGTTTAATTAATTGTTAATTTTTTTTGTTTAATTGTATTTCGAAATAGTCATTATTTAATCATTATTACTTAATGTTAAAATTATTGCATTAATGAGAAATAATTTAAAAAATAACAATGTATGTGTCGACCTCGAACGGAACGTGTTAAGATATTTTTAATTTAGAAATTGAATTTTTTATCTTCGCATAGAACAGAAGAAATACATATATATATATATATATATTTGATAAATTCCGCAGGTCCTATTCCAGGATGCAAGATTTGCACGAATACAGAAATGTCTTACTGCAAAGATGGAAGCGTGATAAACGATCATTGTTGTTGCGACGGCAGTTCCAATGGTAAGTAAAATTCTAACAATAATAAAAAATAAAATATTTGAAAGTTTGAAAAATCTTTTTCAACATGTTCATTATGTTAGAATGAAACTTGCAGCCTTTTCTCTCATCATTCTTAATTTAAAAAATGTTAACAATCAATGCTACTGTGACGTGATATAATTTTCAACGATCAGTGAAAATTTATTAATATTAAACTATAATTTTTAATATACATTAAATATAAAATTTAACGTTTAATACATATTTAAAGTATAAAATATATCTCTTATATAATTAGTTTGTAGCACGTTTTTTTCCATGACTTTCACACCCTATATAATTCAAACAAATATAATAGTATTTTATATTTCAAATTCAAGATTGTAATGTTTTTGAATATTGAAAACTTTTTGCCAGAGATAGTAATATACATTATGTTAATAAACTTCGGACCGAAAAATATTTTTAAACGTTATATCTCAAATTTCAAGACACGTCTGTGTTTTAAACCTCTATCTAAACATTTCTGCGATACATTACTAAGATATAAAACTTTCTACGTTTCATATTGCAATAGTGTTGTAATAAATCACCTTGATTTCTCACCTGTTTCTTTGTTTCGCTTTTCTTCTTAACATATAATACATGTACAATCTATTGCTCGCGTTTTAGGCTTGTCCTTCATCAATTTATGCAAATAGGTATAGAAATCGACTAAAAAAATGAAAAAAAGAAATTACAATCGCGTGCAGACAATTCGTGCGTGAAGAATTGACCGTGCAAATGCTGGTGGTTTGATTGTGCAACTCTTCACGGAAATTTCGAACCACGATAATAGATGCTGAAATCATCGTAATGCTTCCAATTCATATAACACAGAATAATTCTGGCGTTTTTATTATTACATGATACATGATTAAACGGAATAATTATTATTATGGATTACATAATATATTTAAACATAAATATATTATAGATAATTATATAATAGATTATATAATTATTATAGATTATAATTGTAAAATATATTTAAACATAAATATATTATAGATTATATAATATATTTATGTTGATGTCATTATATATATAATAGATATAATATTACTGTTTAAATTTAAATAATAGAATATAATATATAATTTTATTTGAATTTTATTATTAAATATTTTGAAATAAGTAATTATGAATCTATTTAGACAAGAAATAATTCTTCTCTTTAGGCAATGAGAGAAATAATACTTCCTAACAGAATACTAACTTTTCTAATTTCGATTAGGAAATATAGTGAACAAAATGAAATCAAAATCATTGATGAAATTTAAATAATAAAATTAATATTATTTAAACAAATTATCTTAAAGTAGAGTATTTAGATAATATGGATGTTATTAACAATAGTTAATAGAATGTTAATAACAATAGTCTGAATGACTATTTGAATAATATATCATTTTATTTGATCCTTATAGTTAGATATTTTGAAATAATTACATGTGCAAATATATATATAACTATTTGATAAAATGGTTTTTCTCTGAATTGTTTTATGGTTTAGTTAACAAAGGATATAATCGTTTATTTTTATATTTGATCGAATAAAATGTTCTCACGTACACTAGCTGATTCATTTATTCAAGGATAATTGAAACGAGAACAGTTCTGAAAGCAAATGTTGTTACCATATATGATTTAAATATTAGTTTATATTATATTAATATTATAGTAAATTTCAAAATATTAGTTTATATTTCAAATTAATATTACAGTATTCAAAATATTAATTTATATTATATTAATATTATAGTAAATTTTCTATTACGATATTATATTACATTTATTACGTTAAAAATTTATTATTATTTATTATTATTGACATTATAATATAACATAAATTTTATATCATAACATCATAATATTATTTTAAAAAAACAGTACTATGTTTTAATCTTTTGTTTTTTCCCACATAATTATATCTTTACGAGAAAAACGCTAATCAGTAAATCTTTGAACACCTTCTGCATAAATTATATTATTTTCTTATAATTTTACACAAACGATTATATTACAGCGATATTCATTATTACCATTAAAAGTGGCACAAATCTAATGAGAAAAATCAAAGACTCAAACATGAGTCATTCAATGCAGACGTGTTAAAATAACACGAGTGTCATGAATAAAATAATTACATATTTTAAAAATTGAGAACTCCAGTAACGAATTCAGCGCCAGTTTACAGATCAATTTAGGCCAAATTGATGCAGAAATCTGCCAACAAAATAACAAGCAAGTTAATTAAACACGGTATGAATCCTATACTCCTGTGATCTTTATTTTATAAAAACTTGCGATCTCTTACAGAACACATCTTACATTGCACAATTGCTTCACGTACTCGTGAAAAATAGTAAAATAAAAGCAAGGAACGAAGCTCCTTTCTCTTTTTTAAATAAAAAAAAACTCTTCAAACCGAATTCACTCGATTTCAGATCATTGAGAATTCGGTATTCAATTTGGCCCAATTGAATCTATTGAAAATGACACGCGAAACACCTTCGAAACCAGCTGAGCGGAAGGACAATCACCTGTTCAGGAAATCATCGTTCGTTGTCGAACGATCTATCCTTGTCGGGCACACGCGTTCAAACGTCCACAGAACGATTACACACACCAGGTGATTCACGCGAAACGATCGGCACAGCCGTTAACAGGGACACTTAGGTATTCCGCACGTTCCTCGTACGAACTCTGTACGCGGCTATCGGTCGTTCAACTCTAACTCCATTCGCTCGAATTTCTAATTAGCATAGTTCCTCTGTTGACCTTGCTTTATACGCTACTAACTGTATTATAAGTATTTGAACGCTTGTTAATTGTTGCAACGTAAAGTACGACCAACCACTTGCCCTGGCAACTGATTGCGGACCATAACGAGTGACCGTATACAATAATTCGTCGCTTTCCTTTTGAATTCGTCGGTGATATCACTGGATAAGAATCATTGAGAAGTAATGAATTTTATTATTTGTTTTGCCTGAGTTATATTTCAATATACATGAAACTGAGAAAATGTTGCAATTTTGGGACAAAAAATTCTCGACGTGCCGATAGATAGAACGAATCTACCAAAAATAGTTGAAACGATAAATTTGCAATTTTTGTTAGAAATTTTATAGACGTAAGACGACTGGTATTATGTAAGTGTCTCTTTGTAAAAACCGTAAACAGTTTCATTCGTCAGTTTGACCGTAACGTTCGCTATCGTTAATTCTGCACGAATGGCAACGACGATGGCAGTAATAAAATTGCGTCGCTGCACGCATCGAGTGCACGAATCGAATACGTGAGTCGGTTTCGATCAGTGTTATGAATCGCACGTCCCTCTTTGCCTGTTTCTAATCAACCGATTCGATTACGCAGAAGTGACAATACAGGAAATAACATTACGCTAAAAAAAAGTAAGAAAATACGCACAGTGACACTTAAATGTTGAAACTGTTGAAAGTAAAAAGAAATCGTACGACAATGAACTTGGATCGATTTTAAAATTTGAAACTTCTACTTTCAAAATACAGGGTGTCCATAAAGTCTCTTTACAATTTCAAAAATTTATTACAAAGGAAAATGAAAAGACAGATACGTGGAAATTATTACAAAATGAGACGTATATATTTAAGTTTTTTTTTTTATCTCATTTAATAATAATACTTCTACATAGGCACCATTAGTTGCACGAAGCATATCAAGACGTTACTCGATTTCTTACACGATCGATGTTTTCCTCAGATGTTCTTGATGGTCTCTCCCTTTATCGAACACTATCTCTATCTCCATAAATTTCTTGTGCCATGCACGAATTGACGGACGTGACGGTGGATCTCTTCCATACTTAGTTCTGAAGTTTCGCTGACAATGAATCTGCAGATCCGATTTGGTTTCAATAAACCGTGATACACACTGTGCCTTCTCTTGAGGAGCCATTTCGTAAGGGATTTAACAGTATCTTATTCATCAACAGGGTACCTGAAATGCAATGTGATGAAAACCTCGATAATCACTGAGTACATAGAACAAATTTGATGAAGATATCTCATCAATTGCCTTTGTAATAAATTTTTGAAATTGTGAAAAGACTTTATGGACACCCACATGGGGTTATGGGACATCACTAATCTAAAGCAGAAGATCATTGATGCCATTGCCACCATTGATGAGGATATGCTACAGCGAACATGGCAAGAAATTGAGTACCGTCTTGATGTGCTTCGTTCAACTAATGGTGCCCATATAGAGGTGTATTAATGAGGCAGAAAAACTTGAATATATACGTCACATTTTGTAATAATTTTCGTCTTTTCATTTGCCTTTGTAATAAATCTTCGAAATTGCAAAGAGACTTTATGGGCACCCTGTATTTTATTTTAAAATGTTTTCACATCACGTAGCAGGTATAAGAAACGTGTGAAGATACTTTTCTTTTCGAAAAAAAAATTGAAGAATTTTTAAAACATGACTGAATCTACGATGGATTTGAAGATTGAAGCTTTCCTTTTACAACAACCCTCAAAAACTTGCTGTACGACTTTTCTTCGCCGTTTTATTCAATTTTTTAGTATCAGGCATTGATAATGAAAATTCAGAAAATAACTGAAGTTGGAATGTACATCATTAACTGCGATTAAAGATTATTGGAAGAATTTAATTGTTGATCGTTGATTAATTTTTTGCCGAAAGTAAAGAGTAATTATGTAGAGAAGTAAACTTGATTTTTTCCAAAAAGATGACGTCTCCTTTACTTTTGTACAGAATTCTCAAGCAATATAATATAATATAATATAATATAATATAATATAATATAATATAATGTAATATAATACAATGTAATATAATACAATATAATATAATACAATATAATATAATGTAATATAATATAATATAATATAATGTAATATAATATAATATAATGTAATATAATATAATACAATGTAATATAATACAATATAATACAATATAATATAATATAATATAACAATGTAAAACCTGTTAGTCCAAAATGTTTTGATCAATAATCAATCGTTTCGTTGATTGGTGTGTTAGTAATCTAGATTCTGATGTGTTTAAAGTTATTTCAGAGAGAGAGATAGAGAGAATAGTCTTCTGAAGATGAGAATTTCTAACAGTAAATTGAATCTATCGTTGTCAATTAGATATGAAATTGATACAGAACCGGAAGCCTTCAATATCTTGTTACATGAATTGGTCGTTGACATAAATTGAAAACTGGTTGGTTATCATGCTCGATACCTCTAGCCAGCTATTGCGAATCCAAAAAATAAATAGAAACTAGAGTTTTTACTAAGCTTCGATTACACTTTAATGCTTTATTATATTTTCAATAATACTACTATTGGCTAAAAGTTTTCGATTAATTATTCCAACACTTAAACCAAAAGTTAAATTGCATTTTACATTTACAATTACGTTTAAAAATTATGTCTAAATTATTATTAATTATATATTATTCATAATAATATAATTACATGCAATAACAATTTAAATTTGTTTCCACTATGCTAAACTGTATTGTAATAAATACCTTAAATTTTATATATTTATATATTTCATATATTTTATATATTTTCACAATTTAGATAAATTCTATAGATTTTCATAGGTATAGGTGTAGAAGACATAGAAAGTATCCTACGACGACTTCATAACAAACGAATGCCACCACCATGATTATTACCTCTTCGATCACAGTTTCAATCTGTTATATTTAAATTTTATACATTACATGCACGCGTAAATTTATAAAAAATTATAAAGATATCTCTACAGTTTTCTTATAACTTATTCATTCGTTGTAAGTGTTTTGAGATGAAGAGAACAGTTTTATGATTTAAAAAAAATGACATACGAATATGCATAAAAATTTATAATTCTCTGCTTCTGAGAGACATTTCTAAAATTTTATTTGAAACGCTGTTTGGAATAACAAATTAATAAATTTACAAGACACCCGATATATAATCTTTTTAAATTGATCATAAGGTTTCTCTCATTCATTGAAACTTTGTTCCTTACACTCATCTGGCCATTGTTTCAGAGGTATTCCCCTTCGTGAAGCACACTTGTCGCGTGGGGCCAGAAGAATGCAAAGTACAGGCTGGAGACTGTGCTGAATATGCGAGGCTACGGGAATGTTGTTGCCATTCCTACTTAGCTTCTGTATGTAAGTATTATTTTTCCCGGTTATGGCAAAACGCATTCTCATGATAGACATCGTTGCATAAGCTCGAATAATCTATCTTTTCTACCAGATGCTAAAGATAAAATTAATTCTGTAATTAATCAAGGTACAAACGTGAGAGAAGTAGGATCATCTTTCTCATAAGCTAAGTTAGTCTGGAATTTGGAAAAATTATTGATTATTAGATTACGGATTTTTGTACTTCTACATATAATACAATATATATAATATAAATATGTAATGTAATAATATAGTATGCAGCAATATAAAATATTATAATTTATTTGTATGTATTGTACTCGTAAATATATGTAAACATGTTTATGATATTTGATAAGTAAAGTAATTGTTCATCAATTACATTAATGAAAGTATGAATTTGCTTGAATATCAATTGTTTATTAATTACATTACAAAATATACATATTCGTGATTAATATAATTATGTGATTCGTGAGATATATATAAATAAACTATATTAATGAGAAAAAGAAAATTATATAATATATTTATATTATTTTATATAATTTGTTTTAAAATATATATATATATATATATATATATATATATATATATATATATATATATATATATATTTCTGTTACTTTTTATATATTTAATTTTTTAATTTTTTATTATTAATAACGATATTAATTAGATAATGTTAAATTTATCTACTCTTATATTATCATCATTACATATATTTTTTTCTTTTTCAGGGAAATATTTAGCGAACGATGCGGCATCACCAACGAATACATACTTCATAAAGTTCCTGGCGATATTAACGGTGCTCAGGTTGCTCTTACAGCGGACCTAATTAATAGTACACATTTAATACCAAATATTTTGTATAGGACGTGTTATTTTAATAAATTATTTTTCCACCGGCGAACAACTGAAAGGCCAACGAATATTTCTATATTCATGCGACAACGAAGTGAAATAATTTCGAATAATTTGATAGACAATTTTGGCGACTTCGTTTGTACATACATATATATATATATATATATATATATATACGAAAAAAATGTAATTGTACAAAAAAATAACGAATATTGTTCGATGGTCATATTTGTATTTTAATTGACGAAATGCAACAAATGATGTATTATAGAAACGTATATACTGGGAAACTTATTTTAATCTCATCCTTTTCTGCGGAAATGATGCAATCTCACTTAAACGATGGTTACTTAATTATAAACATCGAAGCAAAACGATTACGTACACGAATCGAGACACGTACAAATTTACTCAATTCAATAATTGCAACATTGTTATTTCTCAGGAGTGAAACAAAGAATTTGCCATATAAAGAGCTCATTGGAGAAAATGAGAAATAAATAGTATTGTGAATTTTTAGTATAGAATAACAGAAAGAAATAACAGAAAGTGTTCGAGAGATTATTGCTTTATACAGGATATTTTATATTTTATTTTTACAATTACATTTTATATTTTACTTTTCGACTAAACGTTGTATGTTGAAATTTGAAACAGAAATTTCTGAAATTAAGAATTATAGATAGCATTATATCTTAAATATAGAAAAGTAATATAAGTTTGATATAATTTGCTCATTTGCTTGGGAATTTCATTCAACTATTATTATGTTAATGTATTGTTTCTTCTGCAATACAGTATGTTTTGCATTAAAGAAATAAAATTTATGTTTCTGCTACTAACTATATGCAATGACAATTTTGATATACAGTGTCATATACAAAAGAAAGTTCAAAAAGTAAAACCACATAGTTTTACAAAATGAGAGAAATGAATGTATATTAAATGTATAATAATATGAAAAGTGAATGTATATTAAATGTATAAATGTATAAATAATGTATAATATTGTATATCTTAGAACAGACGAATGTTTAATAGGAAAAAATCTTTAATATAAATTTTATTTACAGACATATAAAATTTTTTATATTTTAAACTTTCTTTTGATCTTTCACTGTATTAAAGAATTATTCAATTAACTCAATAACATTATTACATAAAGTAATATACTCTCTTGAACGTAATAGTCATTGAAATCACGAAAAATAAAAAATAGAAATAAAAAAAACATGAGACAATATATAGACCTGTCAGACAAGATGACAGAAATGAATGCAATATCTTTCTGCGTGAAAATTAAATCGTTTTATATAATTTATATAGAAAGAACTAATACCTACTTATTCAAAAATCTAATCTTTGCCAACAAAATTCGTTATTGAATTTCACATTACAGTCACTATCAAAATTTAGCATAAGCTAACACCAATCGATTTTCCACGTATGTTTTTTTTGGAAATAATAAATATTGATAATATTCTCATAATAAGTCTTCAGTAGAACTTTTGTGGAAAATATTTGGTATATATAAAGTATGGCCACTATAAAGTATAGACTAAGAAAGCTACATAAACATTAAAAACTCTAATATATGTTTATATAATTCATTATATTAATTTATTGAATTTTCTTGTGCCTCTAAAATTACGAAGTGAAGTCAATGGGATTTTATTGTATATCTTAAAATAAAACAAAAATTAAGAATAACAAAGGAAATTAAAGAATCAAAATATAGGTTTAAAAAGAATGTTTGTTTCTTTTAGTAGAGATATTTAGTAAAAAGTTAGTCCGATACAGATCTATTCGACAAATGCTCGAATAGATCTGTATCTTGATATTTTCGAGAACGAAGCCTCCAACGCAATTTTTAATTTTAGTTTTATTTTCAACCATTATTTCGAGAATCTCTTTGATTTCATTTGCACCACAAATTTAGAGGTAGTATAAAACTTACACTTTCTGTACAAAATTAGAAATTAATTGATTAATCCAAAATAGTTAATAATAATTATTAGTTATTAATAATTAACATTAATCAATATCATTACATTATTATTAATTGTATTATTAACAAATTGATTATTCATTATTGTGATTATTTATTTTATAATTTTTGATATTAATAATTATAATGGTAGTTAATTTAGTTTTAATATTAATAATTGTCAATAACAATTAATTAAATTAATTCATTTTCAAGAGAAGTAACGTGCTCACATTTTTTTTGTTACAAGTAACAGTCCACGCAAGTTTCAACAGTACACAAGATCGACAAATTTCGCAATAAATGACACACTCGTAATTAGCAAACTCACTACGTTAGAGTGATGTTCAGTTTTGGGCAGTTGATAATATAATTGCGAAATTAAACCGGATCCGTATACAATACGGACTTTCTACCAAATTCATCTCACTCTGTCCCTGACCGTTTTTATTCCCTCCCAAAATCTGCTCAGTCTCAGAGAAGACGATCGAAATGTCATAATCAATGATCAATAAAAAAAAAAAAAAAATAACACACTCTTGATTGAAACATTCTTCAGCGAAATGATCAAAGATAGGTCAGAGTTCTCGCTGTCGATGGAAATTTCTCATGGCGAGCGATCCCGCTTTCTTATTTTTCGGATCAGCTTAGAAAGAGAGGAAGATCTGGATCTGTTACGAGTAACGGGTACTGGCCGACCATTTAAGTGATCCTCCCGTAAGTAAGCGGAGCTACGTGTGTGTAAATAAACGTTTGCGTGGATTTTGAGAAGAAATCGAAGTAAAAAAAGTTGTTCCTTCGTGATAAAACTGTGCTAACGAGCGTTTCAACTGTAAAGTATGTACATCCTCACGCTGATAATCGCTGGTATTTTAATGCTACAATCGTACGTTGCCACTGAATCAAGTAAGTATGACATGAAATGACGTGAAAAAATTTTGTTCAAGTTGAATGTACACTCCTTTTTAAAATTTTAAATTATTTTTTACATTCATAGCAAACGACCTGCAAATGATATGCAATGTTCGATTCGTCTTATTGATTACATTATTAATTTGTGTGTGATTGTGGAAATTTGTTAAAATTCATTTGCAGATACATAAACGATTTATTATATATATTGTTTTTCCTAGTACAAAATCATTACTATTTAAGTTATTTTTTTTTAAGTATTTATAGTTCAAAAGTAGATAAAATGAAGACGTTAATTAACGCTAAAAGATAGTTATTATGTATATTGTAACAAATCACTATCGTTATTATATTTTTGCTTATTTTCTCTTATTAATCATTAATAAACTAACATACATGTTCTTTTATCAAGCTTCATATATTATTATTACTCAATACTCTTCTCTAACAATGGCTGATCGCTTTTAAAATCAAATTGCCCAAAGAAAATATGTCATTATCCATAACACGTATAATGATCACATATTAATCAAATAGTCACTCTAAGCAACTTTCAGTTACAGATGTTTTAGAACTATTGAAGATTTTTAATTTAAATTTGAATTATTAGTTAATGATTAATTAATATTGATAATATTTAATCACTATATTAATAACATTAATTAATATGAATTGAAATTTAAATAATCAATTTTAAACTTTGTAAGTGGATACGTAAAAGTCGTATGAAGATCAACTTTGTTTTCTTTTACACAGAATTATATACAGATACATCAATTGACATTCTCTAAAAATAAAATATTAATCCATGTATATTGAAAAATTATAAATTTAGGAGATAATCTTCTGTAACACATATGAGAAGGGATAAAAGCATTGGTTAATCAGAATCTCCTCAAAACAGAATTTGTTGGCACCATTGTAGTTAATCTATTTTCTATCCCTCTGGAGAACCAAGATTTTTCCACAAGTTCTATTTAAAAAAAACAATATACATCCATCGGTGATTGTTGATAGTTGTACCTATTCTATTTCTGTGAAAATGAAATTAAGAATAATAAATAAAATAAATAAAACGTGAAATTGATCGGTTCTGAGAGGTGAAATGAGGCCAAATTACACTACAATAAAACCAATTTGGGCATATGGTGAGCGAATCTAGGACATAAAATAGAAACTAGATTAAAAAACATTCGGTCCGTCATTTTAAGATCTATTCTAAATGTGGTTTATAAGAAACGATGATATACAAAAGTAGGGAAAAAAATTCCTACAGAAGTTACGCAAAAGTACACCAGTGCAAAATAAATAAACGTAGAAGCAAGAGTGCTGGAAACCACTGTTTAGGCCTTCCTAGAAGACTTAAAAAGAAAACGCTCATCCACTTATATTCAGCCAATAACACATTATTTAGTACACACCAATTATCACGTAAATAGATTACTCTCATTCTAACTAAAAATGTCGATAAATATATTGAATTCCCCCATATTCTGTTTCTGCCAAAAATAAATTTAATTTTAATCCGAAGCTGAAAATCATTTTAATACTCTTGAGTCAAAACAAATAATTTTACGAAACTTTCATTACAAAATCCTACATATTGTACATACATGAAAACTAAATTGTAATAAAAAAGCATGTAAGAACTCACTAATTGTAAAAACACAAATAGCTTTTATTTTATAAAATATTTTTCCTTCTTTCTTTCATACACAGGGTAGTCCATTTAAGTGAGGTCATCTAAATAATTTTTCGAATTGTGATGATGTAAAATATATTTTTTTCCCTAACGTGAATAGTATCCAAAAGGCTAATAACTGATAAGAATTTTTTTTTCCAAGGATTTTTCAATTATAAGGCTATAATCATCTATCAAGTATATCATTTTTAATTAACAGAGTTGTTAAAAAATTCAATCGTTGTTCGAACATAGTTGTTCTATATTTATGTCATTTATCATTAATAATTTAAAGATGCTGCTCTCTGCTTGTAAATATTCGAAACCATAAAAATTTATGTTTTACATTGCTTAATTTTGGAATTCTTTTATTTGATTTAATTTTACTCCTGATTTCTATCAGAAATTATATAAAATGCAAAATAAAATTAAATAACTTAAATTTTTATAATAATATAGATTACTATAACCATCTGCGACTTCATGAACCACCACTTAAGAATTAAAAATGTATTGATTCAAGAAACATTGTTTTAGACTAAGAATTTTATATATACCATGTATACGTTTGATAATTATTTATTAATTTTTTGTTCTTTGTACCTTCCCTGTGAGCGTTAAGATAAATTGTTATTTTTTATCTTTATTTTAAATAAAGTTTATCCAACCCTAAAGTAAACAATGTTCAAACAATTAGATTACAATTTTCAATAAAAATATTAAACAATTAGCATTTAGTGATTAATAAATTATTGAAATAATTGTAATTTGTTGTAACAACTGCAATTCGTATGAACAAGATGAGCAGAGCGACATAGCGGATAATCAAAAGACAGGGGCCAAGCTAGCATTACCAACCATTCCATCGTCACAAATGGAAACGTATCAAGATCGCATCAAATATTACAATTTTCAAATCGATGGTACTTATAGACCGTTTCAAAACAGGTAAATGTTACATATATGTTATATAACTGACAATATTACAATACAATATGTTATATATGACAATATTTTTCTCTAGGAAAAAAAAAAATATAATATTCAACAATTGAATTCTTAAAAATCTATATTGGACATTACTTGAAATTAGAGAACTAAATTATTTCACATATACTTTACACGCGGATCTAGTCATGAAAAACATTTCTCAGTGATTTTAGAGATGCTTGAATTTTTATAACTTTCAAAGACAAAAGTGTCTTTAGTTTTTCGTTCACAGCATAATGTAATGTTCAAAAGTCTTTACTTATAACGTTACCGTAATAATTTGTAACATTGGTAATAATTTTTAGCAGTATAAAATTATTATAATAAAAGAAATACTGTACACTTGTGGAATATTGATAAATTCCCTGGTGAAAAAGGAAAATCACAGTATAATTGTTTCACAGATTTATGAAAATATTTTCTCTAAATATTCCGTATAAATTATTATCAATTTATAGTATAAAAACAAATAATTTAAAATAACTAATTGTAGGTTTTAAAACGCATCTTGTATAATTTGTCTTGCAAAATGTAAATATTATTTATAATATAATATTTATAAATATTTTCTAGAAATATTGTTACATTAATATATCTACGTATGTATTAATATTATTCTACGTATTAAAAGTTTTTCATTATACTGTTTGTTTTTTGTAATATATTCCTTAACTATTGATTATTAATTATTAATTGTTTATTAGCATTGACTGTAATGTTATTTCAATTACTAACTAATAATTATAGCATCAGTAATTAATTATAATTATAGTATTAATAATTATAAGTATATAATATATACTTATATTTAATATTATATATACTTATAATTATAATTATAAGTATTGACGATATAAATTTTCATTTGTAACTTTATTATAACTTAATAACTTAATATAACTTTTCCATGCTTACGATTTTATCTTCTGCTGCTAAGAATTATCTTTATGTTTCAGAAAATGCCCGTTATGCGATACTTCTGTCTTCCCCTATTGCGGAGAAAAATTACTACACGACGCGTGTTGCTGCACTGATCCATACACTCACGACTTGCCCTATCAATGTAAATTAGCGGATTGTCGATTTTTGCACGCGAACAGCTGCAGAGAACATCGATTGATCGCGACCTGCTGCTGCAGTGACGATTACCGATCTTTATTGAAGAGTTTCTCGAATGTTTAACAGACGTTGTCTGCCAAGCAGATTTCTCATACTCTGTCTATTTATTCCATTATTGTATATTATAACATGATAAAAAAAGAAAAAACAATATTGTTAACTGTGAAAATATATTAATTCATTCATCGTTATAATTATAATTAAAAATTCATTGTGATGTTTTTAACGGAAAGAAAAGGAACTCTGCATTAATTATTACTTTCCTACACGAAAAGAGGTTAGTTATTGCGTGGCGTAACTAACTCAATAGGTTAAACACTACGAGATACATTATTATAAAGTATTTCACAATTTTACAATATAACGTTAACGATATTTAAAATTTTAGAAATTTCACGGTTCAGATTCAAACACTTTAGTTAACCTCGATAGTCACCAGTGACTTCTATGGCGCCACCACTGCGACAGATGTCAGTTATTGGTAACCTCCAAGATAGCCAACGTCCTAAAATTATCTGTCGATTTTATATAGTATTAATGTGGAGAAATACACATCATAGATTCAATTTGTTCTGTCATGGTAAATATTCTGGTGATAACGTACGCATCTGCGCTAATATGAAATTAAATAAGTTCGAAGTGATTCAATTTTTATGCATGAACAACATATGAACCAGACGTAGAATACAAGTAATGGTAAATATATAACGAGTTTATAATAATCTTTGATCGTACCACTTTATGCAGTTACAAAATGGGTCAGTGAATCTATAACAGATATGCCATTTAATTATCTACGGCAATTAGTCTTGACACGTGTCTGATAAAGCAACTTCTTCTAAGATACATTCGTCAATGAGACATCGTTTTCTTTCTGTGGATCGTTACGAAATTACTTTTAAATGTTTAAAGTAAAAATATCAGTTTCTATTGTTAAAAGTACGAAATTACTTTTAAATGTTCGAAGTAAAAATATCAGTTTCTATTGTTAAAAGTACGATATATTTTTTTATTTGAATTACTACTTTGGAATCAAACTGTGTAAGAAAGACGAAAACTGGTTAATTGTTGTACGTAATACGCGATAATATTGAATGAGAATTAAGGTCATTTATTCTTTTTTCTGTCAATAATATATAAAATTATATTTATTACCGATTTTCCCTGAAGTTTGCACGCTCTCATTAATTTAATTTATCTGTATCGAAACTAGAAGACTTAAACAGTCTGATCTTTTACATTTAAAAGAATAAAAATCGTCAGACTAAAATTATCTCAATCGCACATGTAATTTTACGATTACGAGATCGTAATTAGAAAAATTTTTTAAAACATTGTCATAGTGAAAATAACATTTTTCAAGGAATTAAATGATGGGAATAAATATTTATAAAATATAGTTATGATAAATATCCTTACATTTATAATAAAGTCTGAAAAATGTTATTTTTCTGATGAATTTTTTTATGAAGGTTTGAAGATCATTAACGTCTCTTCAATATTTTTTTGAGACTCACTAATCATCTTTTTAATCATTTTTTAAAGATTACTAATGTATTTTCAATAATTTTATTTTTAATATAACATTTCAGTCAGTAGAAAACTTTCTACATAGATTAAATAAAAAATTCTTTTTGCTGCGATACAAATAGTTCTGCGAATATGATTTGATTCATGCTCTCCTTTCTTAATTAGTATATGCTATTTTTTTCTTATTTTTTCAATAAATACCTAGTGCAAAAATTGAATATATTTATAAGGATACATATAAAATTGATATATTTATTAAGGATACATATTTACTAAATAAGAAAATATGCCTATGTATACATACCTGAATTAATATTAATTTCTGAAAACAAGTAACAAATAATGAATTAAATATGTTAATTATTTTACCACATACAAAACATTTTTGATTCATTAGCTAAATTTTAATTAGAATAAAATTCTAATTTCTTAATGATTGTAGCAATTTTATACTTTTTTTTGAACACTTCTAATTTAAATAGCTCCATTATCACCATCTTGTCTTAGTTTAAAATATTATTCTAACAAAGTTATAAAATGAATACTGAATTACAATTTTGCAGAAAATCCTATTAACCACAATACTTATCCTACAAAATCAAACAATCTGGATTTTTAAATTTTTTTCTAGCCAAAATTTTCCAATCAAATAATAAATTAAACTTTAAGATTATGTGTAACAACATTCAGTCAGATCAACGTAGTTTTTTTTTTATGCAACGAAAAATCTATGGAAATTTAATTTTCACATGCAAATTGTAACATAGATGTCCCTTGAATATGAATAAATTGTCATATTGGCAATATTTCTATAAAAGATTTTTATAAAATACAAGTTTGTTTAAGAAAATAATATTTTCTAAATTCTAAATTTTCTGAATTATACTATAATTATAATAATTATACTATAATATATTAATATTATATATATATAAATATAATACTCTATATAATATAATATTCTAAATTATACTATAATTATAAATATATATATATATAAATTATACCATAATTATACTACATATATAATTATTAACAGTATAAAAAAAATTCAATTAGTCTGGATTATTCTATCTAATAAAGAAAAGCATTACGTCCTCAACTGACAAATGTGAGTCTCACGGTAGTTTTAGTTATTTCTTCAAATTATGTTATCTGCATCTACGTGTGCATATCCTACGCTCCCTTTTAACTAAGGAATTCTTGTGAAGGAAGTGATCCTTCTTCTCGAAAAAAGAATACCAGGAAAAATGAGGAGGCGACGTTTTTCAAGGTAGATGCATCGAGCCTCGGTCTCGGGGGTAGGTGTTCGTGAACAGTGGAGGTCAAAGTCAAGGTCATACACGTGTCGAGGGGACCGAATGGGTGGTCCTCTGGAATACACGTGCACCCCCACTTCTATGGAAACAAACAGTGGGACTGCAGGTAGATTCGAAGGAGACGCTTAAACAGTTGGTTACTTGATTCTTAAGACAGATACGCTTTTATAAGTCGATCAATCAATCTTTTATGCTTAAAGGCAAAAACATAGACATTTAATATTTCTGACTTATTAATGAATTTTTTTTTTTTGGCTTCACAAGTCTTGCATCTTACGAATAGTTTTAACAGTATATGCAACATTGAAGCTAGAAAACTAGACTGAATGAATGATTAGCATTGTAATCTTCAGGTTCGAGAAAATTTTAATTTAAATGAAAATAAAAAATCGATTATTATTCTTGTTTATATAACGTGTAAATAATATGTAAAATATAATATAATATAAATAAATAATGTATAATATCACACAATAATTATATAATATATATTAATGTAATTAATTATGATTTATTATACATAAATATATTATTATATAATTAATATAAAAAAAGACTTCGAATTTTGGTTTTGATAATTGTTGTTGAGAACCATACAACTCGAAATTAAATTGAAAATTAAATTTATGTTTAGTACATTACGATATGTGTAAGTAATAGAGAATTTATGTTTCCTTCTGATATATATTGTGACACGTAAATTGTTTTTATTCATTCAAAGGTTACAGTGATACGAACATATTTCAAAATATTAAAAAAAAAGTAAAAATAAATATATTAATATATTAATCTTACTTTGAATTATTGCACAACTATTACACAAAAATGCCGTATAACATTTATTAAACGTTACAGCTTCTGACACGTGTTTAATATTCGTTTTCTTTTCTTCTTTCTCTTTACATTATATCACAACGAAAAAACGAAATACTAACACGTGATAATATGTACTTAGTAGCGAATAGAATTTCTTTTAATACAGATTAAGTAACAAAATGAATGGATCGGGATAAAATATCTGCGAACGTCATCAAAACACATTATGAAATGTCAGATTGCAAGAAACGATTGTAGAATGATCGAAACATATAAAAATGTCAGATGTCAGACTGTATGGAAACGATAGAGAATTTTGAAAGTTTTGACGAAAATAGCTGTACGATGAGATAAATTCATCGTTCGATGAACACTCGATTTTCAAATTCCTTTTAATAAACTATTATTCTGTTATTTTCGACTTCACACGATGCAATTTTTCAACCGAAATTATTTCTCAATCGTGAACAGCATTCGTACATTTTTTCGTTTCTGAAAATTTCGTTTCTTCGGTCTTTTTTTGTTTGTAATAACAATATTAAAACATAATGAAAGAAATTGCAAATAACAGAATAAACAAGCAGAGCAAACGCATGCATGAAAGTTGGATTTTCAGTGAAGATACGGAATTATGTGAATATATTGTTACCGATTGAGAAACAAAAAGTCGTATCGTTTAAATTGGCTGTTAGTGTAAATTGTTATAAGTGCTCGACATTATTGAATGATTAAGCGATTTTAATGACACGTTTTAAAAGTCACGTATTCCGTGTTGAAATTACACTTCACCTTGCTAACTAGCCGGCACGTGGCTACTTCAGAATGTAAGCAATATGTACACACGTGTGTGTCAGGCGTGCACACTCAGGACAGTCGCATGCAAGACGAACGACTTTCAAATCTGCTTATCGTGAAAAATTTCGTACAAGAAATTTTTATCGTAATCTGAAAAATTAACAAGTGGTAATGACTTTAAAACATGTTGTCAATATGTTTTGAACAACTTTTCTCCATATATACATTGCTTTAGTTTTCAAAAGGTGAGAAGTTTTTGGAAATTGGAACATGTACATAAAGGGAAAATTTGCTCAGAAATGACGACATCGGCGACATATTTCAAAGTCATTAAAATGTGGAGTTCTTTTTTCTAGATAATCGCCAAACATGTTAATAAATGTAATTACCTAGCGAGACTGAACATCTCAGGAAACATCCAGTGACTTATCTTGTTAAATAGTAGATAGAATAGAATTTGCATCAGAACATACATTATAATTTAGCTTATTTAAAACAAACCGATATTATTAATAATTTTCTGTAATTAATAATTAGCAAATTAATAAATAATATTTACTATTAATTTAGTTTATATTATAATGTTATGTCGTTGATAGATTATTATGACTATTATGAGTAATACAGTGTTATTGTTATTAGTAACACAAGACATTGATAATGAATTTTTTTTTTTTTTTGCATATCGAAGATTCTGAAACATTTAAAACAAAATGAAACGAATAGAAAAAAAATTTGATATTTACAAATA